AGCGGCGTAATACGCGTCCTTTTGCGCCGTGAAGAATGCCAGTTTCGTCCCATGGACCCATGCCACTTTGCCGGGTTTCACGGGAGGCAGTCCCATGCGCTCTCGTCTACGTTTGGCGGTACCGCGGCGGGGCATGGATGGCGTTGAGGTGAAGTGAGTTGCGCGAAGAGTTTTTGGGTGAGTTCTTGGTGAGTTCTTGATTTCTGCACGTGCCATTGGTGACACGGCCCTCAGGCTACGATCAACAAACAATCTCAGAAGTCCCATTTCAACAGTAGAAGCCTCAGCGAACGTGTATACAAAATTACATTAATAAAGCGACACAATCTGTCATTGCAGCCAACCAAAAAAAAAAAGAACTCTGTTTAAATGTCCACGCTGTCCTCGACGTCATCCAGCGCAAAGAACGACACCTCTCGAAGACTCCGTGTGATCAGCAGATCCGGCTCCTCGCCTATGCGCTGCATCTCAAGGTAGCGCTCCTCCGTACGAGCACTAATATATATATGTATTAGCATCCCTGTATCACTGCGACCCCAAAGAAAAGACTTACGCGCTACTTGATACGATGCCCGCCCCGCGGATCGCAAAATTCACGGGGCTATTCTGCGGGACGGCCTCTTGGCAGCGGTTCGGGGTCGACGGTAGGACGGGGCGGAAGCTACCCTCCCTCTTCACCGCACCGTCCATCTTCCCACCAGCGTGCGCCGATTTCCGCGGCGACAAATCGACAGACTGCGTGGTGATCGTGGTCGTCGCGGTGGTCGCAGTGGTCGCGGTCGTCGCGGTCGGGGGGGTCAGGAGCGCCTGGTCCACTGGGTGTGGGTGCACCCCGAGGACGCAGAGGCGCTGCCAGACCTCGATACATTCTTCCTCCGTATGGCACCCCTGGTAACTATTGTCGGGGTACCCTGTGACGCTCGCCTGCGCCTCGAGCCTCAAACACTTATTCAGTGCTCCGGCCCACCACAGCTTTAAACACTCACCAAGTGTTGAACCTCCCCACCAGATGACCTTGCCCGATGACGTAAAACGGAAATTTTCCTCTGCGGCGCGTCCTGGTGCGAGGAGTCTGGTCCCCGTGAACCGGGGGGAGGCAGTAATACCGACTGTCCTTGCCAGTGCGGGTGTCCATGACGGTGTCTTCGCGGGAGAGGTTCATCTTGACCGGGAGAGACATCGACGTTGGAGACAAAAGAAGATCGATGGCGCACTCACGTGCCCCACAAATCATGGCTCTCTCAATATGGCCATGGCCCCTTCCCTCACGCAAGGCAAGCCTGTGGGTTGACGCCACGGGCTGGGCAGGTAACTAAAAATCTTGCATGCTCCCTTTTTTTTCGTCCTGAACCCACCTTTCCAGCTGCCAAATCCAAAAAAGAGCAATGGAAAATTCGAGACGCGTGGGCCATGCGCAATCGTGCCGCCATACGCAGCTACAACGAAGCTGTTGCCGTGCGGGGAAGGGCGCACGCCCGTCTCGCATGCTCTGCCGCCATTGCCGCGATGCGTGTCGCCAACTCCAGCCGCGAGCAGCACGACCGCTGGCTCTTCTATCATCGCATCTCCGCTGAGCCTGACAGCTATGGCGGCTGGGGGTGGGGCACTGCCGCCATAGCTGACGGGGTTGTGTCTGCCGAGGAGGTAGGGTGGGCTTTGTGGGGAACCGGTCCGGTGCCTGGCTCGTCCTGGAGGTTCCCTGCGGGATGGAACAAGGGCGGCGGCAGGACATACGACCCGACGTGGAACGGCATCACCCGCATTCCCAAGACCTCTCAAAAGAAGTCTCGCCGCTGAGCAAGGAACAAACAGCTGGCGCAGCTGGCTGCGGAGCACGAAGAGCGCCTCGCACGGCTCGGGCGGGCGAGTAATTAAGTACATTGCGGGTAGATACGCGTACAGAATACATGTATGTACAGGCAGTGCACTATAGATTACCAGTCGTCCTCCTCTTCGTCTTCGGAAGTGTCGAGGTCATTGTCCGACCAGTATTGACGAGCCTTGGGCCGCAACGTTGTCTTCTTTCCGGCGGCAGCATTCTTCTTGACGGCAGCGCGGCGTGCTCGGTGCGCGATTTGCTCGCGGAAACTTTTTTTTGGTGCGTGAGGAGGCGTGGATCCCGGCAGAAAACGACACGCACCGCTCTCTGTACCGAGCTTGAGCCTCCTGATGTCTTTGGCGCTGTTCCTCCGTTTGCGACGCCCGTAGGCGCGCCATTCTTTCTCTCCCCTTGGCTCGGCACTTGTCGCGGTGACTGAGGCGATATTAGTGAGTCATTTCAGGGAACAATCCGGGAACCTACTTCCTACGGTACTCCCGATACGACGCCAGGCGGGAAAGGTATCGTGTATAGTCCTCCTGCGTCTTGAACAGGCGGGTCGGAGGCATTCTGTGTGGCAGCGTCTAGTAGAGGGATTTGATTAGATCATGACACTTGCCTTTTCCAGTGGGCGCTTAGCGGGCGCTTCGCTGAATCGGGCCTAATGAGCTGATGTAATCATGTCGGCGGCTAGTGAATTTTGAAAACTGTGAGGTCCACACACCTCCGTTGCCGGCCGTATAACGATTTTCGAGATGCCCCAAAGGATCTATATGATATTTTGAGGTCGATAGAAAATTCTGTGTCAGATGGTTTTGCAAGTATCTGGAGAGCGGATAGCCCTTCACAAATTCCAGAGTACGGAAGAGTTAGACGAACATACCTTTTGGTAGGACTCCAAAATTTTGAGCGGTAAGTCGGGGGAGGACTTGAGTATCCCTTCTGTGGCAACTTGAGCGACCACGGACCCTTCAGGAATTGAGGAAAGCAGAAAAACCCGCCTGGCAGTTAGCCGGTGAGTGCGCCACACCCCCCAGAAAGCACAATTCCACAGCGGGTACGAACGTTACTGCTGCAATTGCGACCTGATCAATAACTTAGTAGTCGAAACATGTAAGAAGCGAGCCAGCAGCGTATCTGGAGCATGCAAACTCCAGCACCAAAGGGAACATCAGCAGGTGGCGGGTGGTTAGGTGGTCTTCGAGATATCGAGAGAGACCGCCAGACAGGCCAAATCTCACAGAGTCACTTGTTGTAATCAGAAGGTGGAGCTTCAAATGAGCTTTCCGTAGGGGAGTAGAACATCTGGCCGTTCGAAAAACAGGGATTTTCATTGGGAGCAATTCGTACTAGTGGCAAACGGTAAACAGAATATTTCGGTGCGTGCGAGGCTGGATTTGGCTTGGGACGAGATGGGCGATGGTGGGCCGCAGTCCCCCACCCCTGGAGCGAGAGGCGGCCACTGGAGCCTGCGACTTGGTCTCCGGAGACAGACTGCATTGACGGCAAAAAGGGGGGGAGAGCATCCGTCAGAATGCGTTGTCAAGGCAAGGGAGCACGATTGCGTACCTCAGAATTCAGGATTGTCTGGGGGTAGGGAGCACAGTTCTGGCATGTCGTCGCCATCCGTGGTAAGGTGGGCGCCAACCGCCTCTTCCTCGTATTCTGTCAGGGCGAGTGCCACGGAGCTGCACCAGGATTTAAGCAGCGATGGGGGGGAGCGGCGCGAGTGGTACGTACAGTAGTAGATCCATGGCGGGACTACGCTCTCCTGTCTCCGGATTCCAGGTCGACATAGATATAGACGAAAGATTGGAGGGGGAAGCAATTAAGGCTGAGATAGGAAGGTCGTCTGTGGCGGTGCCATGCCTGGACTCCGGAGTCCGGACCGATGTTTGCTGCACGTGGTATGTTTGGATCATTGCGCAATGCGTTGCGCAACCGACCTTTTCTTTCCCCTCCAAGTACTCCACCAATGTCGACGTCCGGGTTGCGTGGATCTTCTCTCGAGGACCCATGGGTTTTCAACGCTCGCGGTGAGCTGGTCTTAGGCAGGTGCAAGAATATCTATTTGGCTACTTGTTTCCTGACCGCAATTTTCAGCTTCCAGTGCCACTCAGCTGTCTGTCCGCACTACGGAACACGGGCGCATTTTGGCTCCCGTACAAAATCTGGCTGGTGAGTTCTGATGAAATATACTCTGGGGCTGCGACTCATTACAATCAGCGCGGCGACTAAATATCAGGATTGGTCCGCCCTCGACCATCATGCAGCTTCCCAAGCTGCAGGCTCGTGCGCATGCGTGGGCGCTGGAGGAAACTCGCGAGCGGCTCCGTTGGGAAATGCAAGACAATCTGTTCACACCTTCTGTGGCGCCATTGGCTGGACCGTCGCGCACGAGCACGACAATTCGCGCCGCGCGCCAAGATGAAAATCATCGCGCTTCAACAGGTCGGATGTCCACGGGCGGGAAGCGGCGCGCTGTCCCTTATGACCCGAATGTGACGCCACCCCGGAACTCCTCATCCTACTTGCGCCCACACTTCAGACCGGGCCCAGTGCGCATTCGCCGCCGCAACCCGGCCCAGGCCCTCGATTTCGCGGGGAAGAGAGCCGCACGCGACCACCCTTTGACCACCGAGGACCTGTACCTCGACGAAATTCGCCCGCCGCCGCTCGAGGAACCACTGGACCACCACATTTGTGGGATTTGCCTCGCGGTGAAGTCCCACCCTGTCTCGTACGTCATTTGCACGATGACAGTCCATCACTACTGTTGTTTCGCATCAGATATCGATGCGGACATGGTCATTGCTATGTCTGTATTCGGCTCGCTCTGGAGACCAAATTCTCGTGCCCGACCTGTTCACGGGTGATGTTCGAGGCGCCGTTCCGCCATTACGACGAGGAGAAGAGCATCCGCCACGACCACAAAGACTGACGACAGCAAGGTGGAATTCAACTGGACGGGCCTTACATGGCCCCGCCCGCGACGGATTCAAGTGGACTCTCCTTAATTTGTTAGTTTACCCTGCTGAATGAATATTTGTTTTGGTGTTTTTTTTTTTGGGGGGGGGGTTTTGCTCGTCAGCGAAGGGGTAGGGGAGAAACATAAGGATAAAAACATGAGGATAAAAAATAAAAGCATAAAGATAAAAAGCCGCTCAACAACTATCTCTTAAGGCACGGCCCCGAGTCGAACGGGGGACCCCTGACGAATATCAGAGAGAAACTACTGGAAATATTCTCAGGTGTGTTAACCGCTACACCACCGAGCCATGCTCAGCTTAGGTAGACCGAGGAATACACCAGATGTTTTTTGCTCCCTTTTTTGCATTTCTTTCCTAACGGACTTTGGACAGGCAACCAGTCTTGTTTGATATCATAGGATGACATGGGTTTGGATAACTACACTACTGCACCCAGGGCTCGGAGGCATTCCGATGATACCACGCCTTGATTTTCTGAGGACTGGGTGAGCAGAGATAAGATGAGAAAGAAAAGGATGTGTACGCGAATGACGACTGAACACAAAAAGGCCCAATCATTCTTCTCGGTTTCAGTGAGTTCACGCGCGTCCGCGACCAGATTCCTTGCCAAGGGATGTGTATGCACGGGATAAAAGCCGAAGTGGTGGAAGTATAGGGAAATGATGTGTTCGAGGCAGGGTCACACCCGGCTTTGGTGGAGTGCCTCACGATATAGGGATAGATGGGCAAGGAGGAAACGTTGTTTCGCCGGGTGAATTGAGGTTTGGGCAGCTGAGGGCATGGGCGTGAATTAAATTAAACGAGGTCCTAGAAATTGATGATGATGTTTGATTTGATGGTTTCCACGCTACCTACGGCCGAATGTCCGACAGTCCGAGTCTCCGAGATTTTCGAGACATGCCTTAGTTTGGTCATGATCTCATCCATGTCAGCCAAGTCTCGTCCAGTCATTTCTTGCCGTTGTTGTAGGCGCACTTCCAGCCTCAATGTCGTCCGAGTCGCAGTCCCACCAGAGGAAGAAAAAGAGGCCAGCATTGGTTGGGATGCAGACGGCCTCCAGGGTCACATCTCGCAGCGCAGATATGCGGAGACAGCGAGAGCGGCTCAACGTGCTGCAGCAGGCGGCGGGTCCGTCCACGGAACCACCAACAGGGTACTGGGAGGAAGATCTGGCTACCAGCGCGGCGCGCGCAGACCCCTCCTTCACGTACAGGCTGGGCGACGACTCGTTGTCGGCGCAACCGGACCACTTTGATATTCCTGATGACGGAATCCAAATAGTGATTCCCCCTGTCGTTAGGAACCCGAACTCGGTGGGTTTTTAGTTTGGTTATTGTGAAAAAAAAAAAAACTTAGTCACGTTGGTAGGATCGCCCTTTGAAAACCTGGTACCCCTACAACGACGAGTATGTGCGGGAAAACCTTAGGCGTGAGGGGCGCTGCACCCGCAAGACGTACGCGCAATGCGCGAGGCGGGGTTGCATTGGCGAGGCGGAGTTCCGTTGCGTGGGCGAGGTGATGCATTGTGCGCGCTGCATCGTCGCGGCACACGCCCAGCTGCCAACTCATTTCATTGAGGTATGTGGGCGGCATCAGCGTGATTTGTTTCGCCGCTGACGAGTGGCGCTAGCGGTGGACTGGGACTCACTTCAAACGAAAACGTAACATGCTTCGTGACCTGGGGTTACGGGTGCAGCTGGGGCATCCTCCGGGCGTCGTGTGTCCCTTCAAGCAGGCGGCACCGCACGACTTTGTGCTGTACGACGTTTCGGGGGTGCATCAAATAGGCGTGGACTTCTGCGGCTGTTTGAAGCAGGCGCGGCACGGCGAAGAGGCTGGGTTGACAGGCGAGGGGGAGTGGGTGGATCTGGATGACGATTTGGCATCCGGGGAGATGGACACGGGGAACCTGCGGCGCGTACCGCATCGCACGCAATTGCTGCGGGCATGTTGGTGGCCCGCAACAGTTCGAGCGCCGAACACTTGCGCGACGTTCGCTGTGCTGCGCCTCTTCCAAATCCTTAACTGTCTCGGAAAGCTGTCCGCTTATGATTTTCTGCGCGGGCTAGAGATGGTGACAAACCATGATGGTTTAGATAAACCACCGGTGAGTTCTGTGGTGATTGAAAAACATGGAGTTTACAAGCATTAGGGCCGTTGTAAACCATTTATGCACATTGTGCGGCAGTGGAGGGAGGTCAAGCGCATGAAACGTGGGAAGCGCGGACATGCAGCGGGTGGGACGAGGGCGACGAAGCAGGGCGAGTTGGTGCCAAAGTGCCGCGGGTGTCCACAGCTGGGTTGGAATATGCCCGAGGGCTGGGAGAATATCGACCCTATGTTTCGGTAAGTTGGGTAGTGGACGGATTCGTGCTGGGCTAACGGGAAGATGCAGATATATATATTTTTTGTTCCTCGCGCAAGATGCGAACTTCCGATTGTCAAACCGGAACGTTTCGTCTGAGGCCGCGGACCCAATCCTGGGGGATGGCTTCGGTTTCTTCTGCAAGCGGGAGGGGGACGACGGTTACAAGGCTCACATCGCCAAGAACGTGAACGAGCAAGAAGTGTCGAATTGTTCAGGGTTCCAGGCCATGTTCATGGCCAACTCACGGCGGGTGAAGGGCTTGCGCACGACAGGTGTCGGAGGCGTTACGTGTTCCCGCCACAACATGTGGCAGCCGAATGGAATCGGGGACCTACAAGTGGGGGAGCGGTACGTTTCCCGTGAATGATTTTAGTCTGCTGCTGATTTGGAAACAGATATTGCAATATGGACTACTTACTCTTGTCGGCGCTGCTCTCCTTCGGACTGTTGTGCGTGGTCATCTCGTATGACATCGCATGTCAGTTTGCCATCAATTTTTGGGACCGGATGGGAAAGATGCCCGAGAGTTTGCACTTGAAGCTGGCGCCCGAGAATGTTTGGTGGAAGGTGCCCAATTTCCACCTTCCGGCCCACAAGAAGCCGTGTCATTCCCCTTATTCGTTCCATTGGACGTGGGGCATCGGGATGACACACGGTGAGGGCGTCGAGCAAAATTGGTCATTTTCGAATGGGGCCGCAGCGTCAACGTGTTTGATGGGCCCGGGATCACGACAGGCGACTATCGAAGACGTCCTGGGTTTTCACAACTATGATCGGGTCCTGGCCATGCGTACGTCTTTTTTTCCTGAATGCGCCGGTGTTACTAATTGGGCGATGTAGATCGCGTGCTTCCTCGACGGTTAGCTACCAGCATCAAGGAGGGGACGAAGAACCGCGCAATGTTCGAGGCGTTTACCAGCGCGTTGGAGGAATTACGGCCCGACGATGTAGCAGAGTGGAAGGCGTGGGTGCTTCGGTGGGAGGGGGAGCAGCACACCAACAACTCCGGCTCTCCGTTTGAGCTGACGGAAGAAGGTAGGCGACCATTTCCTGTGCGAGTACGACATGCTGACAGGTTGGACAGTGACGTCCTTACGCGATGTCCAGCTGCAGATCGCCACGGAGGAGTTTTTGTGCACGGAGGATGGCGTGGAGGTGGAGTTGGAGCATACACCTGGGACGTTCATCGGGATGGGCCTGGATCTGGAGGAAAAGCAGTACGTGCGATGCTCCAGTGCAGGCGTTCGCTGATATGGATTTGAATAGGCGCCGCTTAGAGTTGGACGTAAGGGTGCTGAAGGACCCTTCGGCGGCCCAGAAGCTCGCATTCATGAAACGCAGGACAACGTTGCTCAAGAAGATCCATAAATTCCGCGAGATACAGCGCGTCTACATGCCGGCGCTGTGCTCTTTACTCTCCGATACCCAGAAGCAGGTCTTCGACGGAAATGGGGAGCACCTGCCAGAGGCTACTCGCCTCTTCATGCCGTCGGAGCTTTCGGACGCCTGGCTCCGTGCGAGGGCTTGCGCGGCAGGGTTACCCGAAATCGAGGCGCGGATGCGGGAGGGAGAGGCCGGCGAGGCGTTGGACATCGTGCAGCTGGGCCTCCGAACGCGGACAATGACAAACCGGTACAAGCTGCAGAATTGGACGGGCCAGGGGATGATGACGAGAGCGCAGGGAATTCTACGCCAGATCAATATCAAGATCCACGCGGGGAAATTGCGGTATCGGTATGCACGTGCGGCCCTGTTGGCGCTACGGGGACATGGGGTGTGGGAGGAACGTCTGAAGGTGCTGGGAGACGACGACGTGCGCGCGCTGAATGAGCGGGCTCTGACAGCGGAGGAGAAGGCTCAGAATGAGCACTGGGCAGAGATCGGAGGCGCCTTTGTGGAGGGGGGCGGCGGTGTTGGCGCGCGGGGAGGGTGGCCATACCCTCTCGTGGATTTGGTACACCATTGGCGTCACGAGTGAGGAGGCAGCGGAAGACGGCTTACACGAAGGTAATTTTATTGATAAAAAAGGTTCCGTATTTACTGACTACTGCGGCTAGCGCTACGCCTTGAGTGGTGCAAGGCATATGCGCGGACGCGGAGGTATTCCGAGGACGTACGACTGCTGCGCGAAGAAATGCGCCGGACGATCGCATTCGGCTACACCGAGGCCGCGAAATGGGACATGTTGGCGGGCGAGGAGCTGCCGGGATCGGACGCGGCGACCACGGAGGGGCGCCAGGCATACGCTGCCGAACACGCTGCCACGGAGCGGGAGACCTGCGCGGAGCTAGAGAGACGGTGGGTGGGGATATTGCGGAAGGCCGATGTGTATCTGGAAGGCAGCATCGCGCTGGAGGCAGAGGTGGTGGTGAGCGTGGAGCTGGAGCTCGGGGACGAGCTGGACCCTGAGGAGGAAGAGGCGCAATTGGAGGGCGAGGAGGAGGAGGGCGAGGAAGGGCTGTCGTCGTGTAGGTTAAACACCTGCAAATAGACGGCAGGTTCGGCAGAGATGGTGTGAGTGATGCGTGATGGGATGGCGCGTTTGGGCAATGCAAGTAACACTAAACAGATATTTAAGGGAAGGCAGCAGCGGCGGCAACGCTGGAATACGCCCAAAATGGCCGAAACCGGGAATATAACCCAAAGGGGCAGCCGGAAGGTACAATGCATTATGGAACAACCCTGCCGCGCTGCCCAGCAGTGCCCATAATGCAATGTACCCCCCAACCACGGCCGGGTACATTGCATTGTGGCTACAACTACTGGTGTCATCCTTCCTTTCCTTTTGAGCGAGAGCCGACAAGCAGATCGCGCATCAGCGCGGTGTCGTGCCATCTCTCTCTTGCTCGAATTCACCTTCCACCTCCACCTTCACTCCCCTTGCCTCCAGTTCCGTGGCTGGTTCTAGCTCCGCACCGAC